ATCAGGCATGCCATGGACCATGTCTGTTTTGTTCACAGTGCTATTCTCAGCTCTTGCTGAGAACAACTGGTAGGGGCTCAACAAATATTGCATTTATTTGTTGCATGAAAATGCCAGTAGGCAAAACTTTTCTGTCCTTCAGTGGAGGTGCAGAGAAGGAAACTTTCCTCTGGTTTAAGAAAAAAGGAGGGAAATAAAATTAGCACAATGTGTAATGGTATTAAATGATAATAAAAAAGATCCCAGAAGATTGTTAAGCATTTGTAACCTTGGAAAAGTTGCACAGACCAATCTGTAGAGGAGCTAATATAGGTCAAATCTTTGACCTATGCACAGTCATGCTTTTTTCCTAAACATATTTCTAAAACATGAGTTGAGAAACTTACTAAAAATGTCCTTGCTTCAATGTTAAACAAATGAGAGAATCACAGTAAGTATAGTTGCAGGATTTTAAAGGACTCAGTTACTAAAGAAGGAAAGAAGGAAGGGAGAGAAGGGGAAGGGAGGGAGGGGTGGGGCAGGGAGAGAGGGAGGGAAGAGATGGAGGGAGAGAGGAGAAGGAAGAAAGGCACATGTAGGAAAAATAAGTGACTTCTCTTCCAGGGTTTGTTCTTATGTTTTGACATCTATGAAACCTAATAATAATTACCTTTCAGGGTTGTTGTGAATCTTAAATGTGATCAGGCAGAATTTCTTGGCTATAGTAGACACAGTGTTTCTTATGGTGTGAATTTTGACAGTTGTGATTAGAACTGGTGAACTTGCTGTGCACCTAGAGAAAGTCTGATGTGTATATATGGAGGCCAGGCAGAAATTTAGAAATGAATATTGTGGTAGGCATCTTGTATGTGTTTATTTCCAGCAGGTATCTCTTCCTCTTCCTTCTGGTAATAAGGGTGGCATTGGCCACCAGCTTGGTCAGTCAGAATTCTTCCTCAGGGGTGTAAGTGGATCTGGCAGAGAAGAGATCCGTTTTCTTTGTTGTGAAGTTGTGGAGATAAGGCCTAGAGCTGGGGTTGGGGAGGCTCATGCACAGAAGCTGTTGGAGACAATGGAGTCCGTCCTGAAATTAAAGGTGAGGATGCACACAGGTTCATCTCCCTCTTCCCTCCACTGATTATATCATCTAATATTGTCCTCTTTTTGGCTTACGCTAGTCAAGGACTTTCAACCAGAAAGTCCTGATAAATACAAAAGCAACTTTGGTTGCTAGTTAGTTCTCTGTTAAGGGTCTCTAATTTTGGAAGCAATTGTGTTATTTATCATTTATAGCTTTTTACCTTGCCTGTGTGGTTTATTTTAATTTGAAAAGCCAATTTAGAAGTATCACAGGATTCTTCTTCATATTAAGATGGATACATAAAAATGCAGTTTTTTAGGTATTATTTTGTAGCTTTCTGTAACAGCAGTATGTTGCATTATTTATTCAATGTCCTCCGTAGAGTAACGGTAACATTTAATGAGGTATAGCATTTAAGGAGTACAGAGTTTTCAGCTGCATTTCAATCTGGCTTTCCCTCATGGAAATGTGATCCTTGTAGGAATTCCCCATGACACAGCACAGTGATTTGAGAGGTAATTTAGAAGAAGAGTTTTTATATTACACTCACGCACTGAAAGAGAAAAATGTCAGACTTCCTGAATCCAAATGATAGAAGCCCCAAACATTCTAGGAGAAGCAAATATTTGAGAGCTTGTCATATTCATTTTAAAAGCTAAAGCAGTAAAATAGTTTGTACCTGGACAGAAGTTTGATTTTTTCATTCACCTCAAACAATAACTAATACTACTGATTACTACTATTATTCTAAACTGTTTTATTGAGGTATAGTTTCATACCATAAAATCCACCTGTTTTTAGAGTTGAATTCAGTGATTTTTAGCAAATTACATAGTTGTGCAACTATCATCCCAACCAACTTTAGAACGTTTCTATCATCCTAAAAAGATCGCTTATCCCCATTTGCAGTTACTTCCTGTTCTTACCCCCAGCTCCAGACAGCCACTTTCAGTCTCTACTTTCTGTCTCTATGGATTTGTCTTTTCTGGACAGTTCATGTAAATGGAGTAATATAATATTCATCTTTTGTATCTGCCTTCCTTCTTTGACAAAACATTTTTAGAAGTTTATTCATGTTGTAGCACGTATCAATACTTCATTCCTTTTTATTGTTAAATAGTATACGATTTTATGAACATGCCACTTTTTATCTGTTTACAAATTCATAGACCTTTGGATCATTTTCAGTTTTGGGGACTATTATGAATAATACTGGTATGAATATTTACCTCTAAGTCTTTGTGTGGATATATGATGTAGATTCTCTTGGGTAGATTCCTAGGAGTGGAACTGCAGAGTTCTATGATAAATTTATGTTTAATTTTTAATTTAATTTAATTTAATTTTGTTTTAAGTGGGCTCTAGGCTCCACGTCCAATGTGGGTCTTGAACTCAGGACCCTGAGATCAAGTTGTATGCTCTACCAACTGAGACAGCCAGGAACCCCTCATTTTTTATTTTTTTAGTTTGACTATAGTTGATACACAATGTTACATTAGTTTCAGGTGTCCAACTTAGTGATTTGATTCAAGTTTAGTATTTAAATTTTGTTGTTTTTGTACAGCAAAAAAGAGGCACTCGTGGGATTTTGTGGACGTTTGCAGAAATTCCCCAACCGCCTTACCCATAGGCATTGACTAGTAAACACACACTAGTTCTACCTTAGTTTGAAATGTTCCTGGAATTTACTTGGTTTATAATTTGGTGATTCATAAAGAGAATTATTGAGCAACTTTTAAATTAATTATCACTACTTAATGATTATTATAAGATGCTTTATTAATGTAGAGGGTCAGGATATGTGAAATAATATGTTTTGTGTTCAATTCATTTATAACACAGGGTTATGGATTGGAAATACTCTTATTCTACTTCCTTGGATTCTTTCTTTTTTTTTTTTTTAAGATTTTATTTATTTATTTGACAGAGACACAGTGAGAGAGGGAACATAGGCAGGGGAAGTGGGAGAAGGAGAAGCAGGCTTCCCGCTGAGCAGGGAGCCAGATGCGGGGCTCGATCCCAGGATCCTGACATCATGACCTGGGCCGAAGGCAGATGCTTAATGACTGAGCCACCCAGGGGCCCCTTGGATTATTTCTTCTACAGTTTTTTTTCATTCTTGGTTGTCCTCTGTCTTGTGTTACTAAGTTATTTGTATAACAGAGCCAGCTGTCTGGAAGTAAGCTGTGGAAATTTTAATAAGCTGTAGATTTTTAGTTCTGGAAGGATCATTATTGATAATCTCCCTCAAGATTCAGATTTTGTTAGATAGGATAGTATAACTTCTGGAGATTTGGATTCCTTAGGTCTGAGATGGTTCCTGGGAATCTGTTTTTGTGAGTAGAGCTTCAGGTGATTCTTAGAGATCAGGCAGGTTTGGAAAATACTGGTGTGGTAGTCAAGAGCAGGGCTTTGGAATCAGATGGATCTGGGTTCTAGTCACATTTCACTTAATTGCCAGCTGTGTATTTTGGGGCACATAAATCACCTCCTTAAGTTTTAGTTTCCTCTATTAATAGTACTTACTTCATAGAATTATTGAGAGGATTAAATGAAATAACATATATAAAGAGCAGGGCCCATAAAAATATGCAACAAACATTATCTATATTAAGAATGTTCTATTTAACAATAATCAGACAAATAGTTGAACATTTATGTCCAGTGATGAAGAAGACTCATTCTTTGCCCTTGGGAAATTTACGAATTAGTAGTGAGGTGAAGATGAGATTTTACAGTAAAGGCAATAAGTTATATCATTTAAGGGGTGCCTGGCTGGCTCAGTTGGTAGAGCATGCGACTCTTGTTGTTGGGGTGCAGAGTTCGAGCCCATGTCTGGTGTAGAGTTTAAAACAAAGTTGTATCATCAAGTAAAGAGCCATCCTTTTGAAGAAAAGAAATTACATAGGTAGACTGTGCTAGATTAGGTTGTAGGGTGAGGGAGTGGGATGGAGTAGTGTGGGAACTAGGAACAATAAAGATCCAGAGGCGGGAAATGATAAAGCCTCATAAAACAGTGAACAGTCCCAGTGGTCTCTTTCATACGGCAAACTTGGAGTAGTGTCAGGAGATAAGGATAGAAAGATAGGTGGCTTTTTGGGGCACTTGGGTGGCTCAATCAGGTAAGTGTCTACCTTTAGCTCAGGTCATGATCTCAGGGTCCTGGGACAGAGCCCTAGTCGGGATCCCTGCCGTTTGGGAGCCTGCTTCTCCCTCTGCCCTTCCCCCCTGCTCATGCGTGGGCGTGCTCTCTCTCTCTCTCTCTGAAATAAATAAATAAAATCTTAAAAAAATAAAGATAGGTGGGTTTTTGAGAGAAGATTTAAGGAGCTTTTTTTTTTTCCCACTGAAGATTTTGACAGGAGAATGATAGTAAGAATGGAGTGTACTTTAATCATCTAAAAAATGTACTTTAGATTAACCTGATAATAATGTGAGGGTAAGAATTGATTTAGGGGGAAAGTTAGGAGTTTGCTTCAGTAGTAACAGTGATTCAATAGTAATTAAGGATTAATAATGGGAATCTACATCTCAAAACGAAATGCAAATGCTTAAAATACCTCTGAAAGATGCTGTGTATAATTCCTATAGTCTAGGTAAATAAAGAAAAAAATGTCCATATTGAAAGATTTTTCATATGGTCCAGAAAAAGTTGTCCATATATATATATTTTTAAAGGCGGGTCCCTTATCTCAGTAGCTCTCAGCTTTGAGAGCCAAGAGGAGGGGGGAAGGAACAGAAGAAGACCCACGAGAGAGAGGCGGGGAGCAGGCCCCGAAGCCCGAGGGGGCGTGTGCAGGGGCGGGGACGCGGACGGAGGTGCGCGGCGGCTCCGGGGTATCGCGAGAGTTGGAAGGGCCGAGCAATCGCAGCAGTCAATTCCCCCACCCTCCCGGGAGGAGCCGCCGGCCCTGGGCTCTCCAAATTCTGAGCTCTCATCATGGCGGCGGCGGCGGCCGCTGCGGCCGTCGGGGGGCCGCAGCCGCCCCAACCCGAGCTGCCCGCGCCTGGGCTGGCCCTGGACAAGGCGGCCACTGCGGCGCACCTGAAGGCGGCCCTCAGCCGGCCGGACAACAGGGCAGGTGCTGAGGAGCTACAGGCGCTGCTGGAGCGGGTGCTGAGCGCCGAGCGGCCGCTGACCACGACTGCGGACGGCGAGGAGGCGGCGGTAGCCGGCGGCGGGGGCGGTCCGGGGGCGGCCGAGGAGGAGGCCCTGGAGTGGTGTAAGTGCCTTCTGGCGGGCGGCGGAGGCTACGACGAGTTCTGCGCGGCGGTGCGGGCCTACGACCCCGCGGCGCTCTGCGGCCTGGTCTGGACAGCCAACTTCGTGGCCTACCGCTGCCGGACGTGCGGCATCTCCCCCTGCATGTCGCTGTGCGCGGAGTGCTTCCACCAGGGCGACCACACCGGACACGACTTCAATATGTTCCGCAGCCAGGCTGGGGGTGCCTGTGACTGCGGGGACAGCAACGTGATGCGGGAGAGTGGGTGAGTGGAGCCCTTATGCAGGGCGGGGGGCGCCGCGGGCGGCCCAAGTCGGGTCTGGGGAGGCCTGGGGCCGAGGGAAGGCTGGGAGCCGACCCTGAGCTGTCAAGGGAAAGGAGTGGGGGAGGGTGCAGCCACATGGGGATGGAGGTGACTGAGCTGTCAGCGGTGGAAAGGGAATGGGGAGACCGGAGAGCGTGTTTACCGAACGAGGCTGTGAATTTTCGGGGAAGCCAGGGCAAGTGAGTGGTAGCGACAGGAGAGCCAGTGCTTGGGGTAGGAGGGAAAGGAGGAGGAAAGGATTACTTGGGGAATCTGGTGTCGAGCTGTCAATTGTGTACTTATTGGGAAAAGCTTTAAAGCGGCCTGGTTCTTGGGAAGAAACTGATGATGTGGTTTGGATTGGCTGGGAGGGGGATGGTGTTGGGGCGAATTGGGTCGCAGGATGGTAAGAGTCGGGGAGGTGGTCTTGCAGCTGTAGGGGAGGACAGCTTGGGTAGAAGGACTTCTGAACTGTCAGTGTGTCTGTCAGTATCGGGGAAGGAGCTCTAGGGCTTATGAGGGCTGAGGGAGGAGGGAAGGGGAGGGGCCTGCATGAAAAGTGACTGTTGAGCTGTCAGTGGAGTATTTGGTGTGCCGGAATGACATCTAGAATTGGGCTACTGAACAGTCGGTTATAGAACACCCTACATACCAGAAGAACAAACAAAACACTGAGCGAATTAGGAATCAGATATTAGGTCTTCGGTTAAAAGGGCACTTTATTCACTGACTAATATGTGACCCTCTGTCTAAAAGGAGACAGTCAACAAATGCTTTTTCTTTTCTTTTTTTAAGATTTTATTTACTTATTTGACAGAGAGAGAGATAGCAAGAGCAGGAACATAAGTAGGGGGAGTGGGAGAGGAGAAGCAGGCTTCCCGCCGAACACGACCTGAGCCGAAGGCAGAGACGCTTCAGAACTGAGCCACCCAGGCGCCCAACAAATGCTTTTTCGATAGGAGCAATGTACCAGGGTGTTGGGACTTAGGATAAAAGGCATTTCAGAGATTGCAGTGAGTTAAAGAGTTGGTACACGTAGTGTCTTGGCTTAGGACATGTTATCAATGTCTGGGGAAGTCCTGGGAAAAGAAAAAAAACTTGGTGAAAGAGGACATTTTGGCTGGGCAGTAGTTGAAAGAATGTTAGCAAATCCAGTTATTCAAGTTCTAAAATTTACAGGTCTAATAATTAAGGATAGAGCATATCCTTATAAAAAAGGGATAGACCCTTTTAGAAAGGGTCACTATTTTCTTCTTTGGAGTACTTGTAGGTTACTGTTACTACAGAATGTTTGTATCTACCAGGTGCAAGCAAGGCTCCTAGGATATTAAGAATGAACAAGACATTGACCTACCTCCTAAGCGGCTTACACTAGAGTAGAAAATGATAAATTCTTTAAATAGTCTGGGAGTTAGAGGAGGCTTCTGTGCAGAGGGAGTATGAAAAAGCCTTCAGAAAGGAGGTATTTTGAGCTTGTAACTACTATCACTACTGCTACTAACAACAACGGTAGTAGTAATTGCAGCCAGTGTTTGAGAACCAAAGTGTATTCCTTACACTTAAAAAATACTTAAAAAAATTAATATTTGAGTAGGTAAAATATTCATGTAGCCAAAAAAGCGCAAGAGAAAAAAATAAAAAGATGCACAGTTTGAAGTTTCCCTCCCATCCTGTTTTTCATCTGCCGAGTTCCTTCTCACTGTTACTATTTTCTCTTAGTGCACAAACAAACAAGGATGATTATGTATTTTGATTATTCAGTTTCTTTTCATGCAAAAGGTAACATAACATCTTGCATTTTTCACTTACCAAGCACTTACCAAGAGGTCTTTCCATGTCAGTAAATCAGTGTACTCACCCTACTCTAAAAAAAACCCCAAAAAACACTGCTGTATAGTGTTCATGTCATGAATTTGCCACTCTTTTTTAATTTATTTTTTGTTTTTGCTTTTTAAGAAAGAGTACGCATGAGCCGGGGAAGGGGGGGCAGACACAGAGAGAGAGAGAGAGAATGTTAAGCAGGCTCCACACCCAGCACAGAGCCCATTGTGGGGCTCTAGCTCATGACCCTGAGATCATGACCTAAGCTGAAATCAAGAGTCAGACGTTTAACTGACTGAGCCACCCAGGTGCCCCTGCCTCTCTTTATTTATCGTCATTTTTGATATTTGACATTTGGGTTTCAAGTATGAAATAAAAAACCTGTATACCCGTCTTTTTTTTCTTTTTTTAAAGATTTTATTTATTTGAGAGAGGGTGAGCAAGAGAGAGCACGAGGAGGGGCAGGGACAGAGGGAGAGGGAGAAGCAGACTCCCTGCTGAGCAGGGATTCCCAACGTGGGGCTACATCCCAGGACCTGAGCTGAAGGCAGATGCTTAACAACTGAGCCACCCAGATGCCCCTATACCTGTCTTTTTACACCTGCAAAAATATCAGTGAGATAAATTCTCAATGGTGGGATTTACAAATTGCCCTTCATAAGGCTGAGTACTTAAGCAAAGTATCAGACTTCTTGTGTTCAACAGCCTCATTAAAAGAGTGTTATTAACACTTTGGATTTTTATCCATCTGTGTGGTAAACAGTGGTCAAATATTAACTGCTTTACATTATGTAACTCATTTAATCTTCAACAAACCTGAGATTGTTACTGTCATTATTCCCATGATACAGAAGAGGAAAGTGGGGCACAGTTTTAAAAAATTTGCTCAGGGTTATACAGGTAGTAAGCTACTGCCAGCCTGCTGACTCCACAGAGTGACAGCTCAACATTTCTCTCTACTGCCTCTACAAATAGCATTCCTGTTGGGTACTTCTGTTCAATACTGTGTTTTTGTCTTTTTTTTTTTAAGATTTTTATTTGTCAGAGAGAGCACAAAGCAGGGGGAGTGGCAGGCAGAGGGAGAAGCATACTCCCCACTGAGCAGGGAGCCCGATGTGGGGCTCTAACCCAGGACCCTGGGATCATGACCTGAGCTGAAGGCAGATGCTTAACTGACTGAGCCACCCAGGCGCCCCTAATATGCTGTTCTTATTTGGGCCTTTGTTTCTTTTTTTTAAAAAAGATTTTATTTATTTATTTGACAGAGACACAGCGAGAGAGGGAACACAAGCAGGGGGAGTGGGAGAGGGGAGAAGCAGGCTTCCTGCTGAGCAGGGAGCCCGATGTGGGGCTCGATCCCAGGACCTTGGGATCACGACCTGAGCTGAAGGCAGATGCTTAATGACTGAGCCACCCAGGTGCCCCGATAATTTCTTTTTTAATTTCAAAAGTAATACCTACTGGTTACAACATAAAAATATGTGGAGGGGCACCTGCGTGGCTTAGTCAGTTAAGCGTCTGCCTTCGGTTCGGATCATGATCCCTCTGCATGGCTCATGCTTTCTCTCTCTCAGATAAATAAATAAAATCTTAAAAAAAAAAAATAAGTGGAGGGCACCTGGGTGGCTCAGTTGGTTAAGCGACTGCCTTCACCTCAGGTCATGATCCTGGAGTCCTGGGATCGAGTCCCACATCGGGCTCCCTGCTCAGCAGGGAGTCTGCTTCTCCCTCTGACCCTCTTCCCTCTCGTGCTCTCTATCTCTCATTCTCTCTCTCTCAAATAAATAAATAAATAAAATCTTTAAAAAAAATAAGTGGATAAAGTAAAAAGTAAGGGTTCCACTTTTCTCTCTCCCACTCAGTGATTGATTTCCCTTATTTTAAGCTTAGCTATACATTTAAAAGATGTTAGTTATAATTTACTCTGCAATTGTAGCTCTTTTGTTGTGTGAAATTTTTAGATTTATTTGGTCTGTGGCAGTGCCAGAAATGGAAGCAGTGAATGTCTGGTTAAATAGTGTATACTCTTCTGTACCTGGCTTTTTCCCCCTTACCATAATTATTGGAATGATTTCTTTTTTTTTTACAGTTAAATTGTATTTCATTGCACTTTTATATTTTTTTCCTGTAATTTATGCTGTCATTTCCCTAGTGATAGACATTTAAATTGTTTCCAGTGGTGGACTATTATAAACATTGTTGCAGTCAGTATGCTTGTATACTCTTCTTTGTGTATATGTTTGAGCTCATAGGTGAGGATAAATTCCTAGAAGTTACTATCTTGGTTAAAGTAAATGTACACTTTAAACTTTGATAGAGCCCTCCAAAGACATGAATTTATAGTCTACCAACAATGAATGAAAGAGCATGTTTCCCCACATCTTGGCCAATATATATGGTATTATCAGTATTTTAATCTTTGTTAATCTGTTATGTGAGAAGTGATATATTGTTTCATTGCCCTTTCTTTCCAAACTGGAGTATTTTGAAGCAAATCTCAGCTATCTTATAATTTAATTTTTAAATATTTGAGTATGTACCTCAGTACAGAGATGTGAACTCTTAAAAATAAAACATAACCCAAATGTCCATTGACAGATGAATGGGTAAGCAAAATGTGGTATATACATAAGATGGAATGTTACTCAACCTTTAAAAGGAATGGAGTTGGGATACATGCTGCAGTAGGGATGATCCTTGAAGACATTATGCTAAGTGAAATAAGCCAGATATAAAGGACAAATATTGTATGATTCTGTTTTTATGAGGTACCTGCAATAGTTTAATTTTAGAGACAGAAGGTAGAATGGTAGTTGCCAGGAGCTGGAGGGAGAGAGGAGTGGGGAGTTATTGTATAATGGGTACAGAATTTCAATTTGGGAAGATGAAAAAGTTCTCGAGATGGATTGTGGTGATGTTTGCACAGTGTTGTGAATATTCTTAATATTACTGAATGGTACACTTAAAAAAAGGTTAAAACAGTAAGTTTTATGTATATTTTATCATGATTAAAAGAACAACCACAGTACCATTTACCACACCTAAAATATTCACAATTATTTCTGAAAGTCTTCAAATATCCAATGAATGTTCAGATTTTCCCAGTTGTTTCATGAATGATTTCTTAGGGTTGATTTAGA